GTATACTATTCTTATAGTATAATTATGGAACATTTTAAAAATTATTTGTATGTTTTAAACAGGATCTCTCTGTAAAAGCACAGGCTAGTTTGAACTCAAGACAATTCTCCTGCCTCATCCACTCAAATGCTAGAATTATTCAGCATATGCCACCATACCTAACTTGGAAACTTTAAATTACATTGCAGTGTAGATGGAAGTTTCTGTCCTGCCCGGACTTTGGTCCGGCAACCATGTAGTCCCAAATATAACACACAAAGGCTTATATTAATTATAAACTGACTGATGGCCCAGGCTTCTTATTGGCTAGCTAACTCATTTTTGTTCATCTGTGTATCTTCACATGGTCTTGACTTACCGGTGATGCCGAGTCTCTTCCTTGGCATCTACATGGTGTCTCTCTCACTCTGCCTGCTACTTTTCTCTATCCCTGTTTGGATTTGCCGCCTGGCTAAATCCTGCCTGTCCATTGGCGAAACAGCTTTATTCATCAACCAATAAGAGAAACATGTATTCACAGCATAAGAAGGATATCCCCCATCATTCCAGTGTGCAAGGAACATGAAAGTGCCCTTGGCCAGGTCCTTTAACCTTTGAGTACGTTCTTTTTGTAAAATGAGGCAATTTGAATAAGTGCTCGAATTCTGCCCGCTCTGAAACGGCATTGACTTTAACATCCTAAATTGTATGGTATGGTTGCTGCATTTGCCTTACACGGTGATTATTTCCAGGACTCTGACTTCATAGTTGGGGATAAGGAGCAGCCATATGCACTTGCACAGTTGTCATGCTGTCTCCTCACTTCATATCCTCAGTTCCCACATAGAGATATAGACTCAAGATGGCCCCAAGCTCCCCAGGGAGAGGTCCACCTGTGTGCTGGCTTTTTTGCTGTCTTTTAAGCATGTAGCCTTTCTCCTTTAGTAGATTTGCATTTAACAATTATGAGCCAATTGTGATAAAAAGCTCCCCTCTCAGCAGAAGCCCTCTTCTTGACTCTCAGATGTTCTGGTCTGTTCAAAACCTGAGTATTTATATTCTTAGAATTTTTTGCATGTGTGTTTTTTATTAAAGCAGCAGTCACTAAAAATGTAAGTTAATAACAAATATTAAAGTGCTGCTACTGTATAGAATAGAAAGAATAAAAAAGCCTTTTGTAAAGAAAACATCTCCATTGGAATAAAGTAGGCAGTGGAAGAATCGTGGCCAAGCATTCCTGTAACACTCTTTCCCATAGAAAACTGAAATTAACATTAGATTGTCTTTAAGAGTTTGTGGTAGCTGATTTCACATTTGAGTTGAAAGAATGCTGGACTGGATTAGCACAGAAGGAGAGGCCTCTTTCTACAGGATTCTCAGATGATAGAGAGAAGATACTTAAACCTTTGTTACAGAACACTCATTTTCACACAGGACCATCCTTTTGGGCTCACTGCCTCATCTTGGAGGCATTTCTGTAGGTAGAAGGGGACTTTTGACCTGCCTGCTTCCAAGAACCCTTTGCTTTCCTGATTTTTTTCCCCTTTTGGCTCTGTGTGTCTTCTAGTTAGATAGGTTTACCGAACCTCCTGCTTTTGGGCCAGTGTGTGACCTGCTTTGGTCTGATCCCTTAGAGGAGTATGGCAGTGAGAAGAACCAGGAGCACTATAGCCACAACACTGTCCGAGGCTGCTCCTACTTCTTCAGGTAAGCTGATCCTCAAAGTAGAAGGCGATGGAACAAACTGGGATTTTCGTTTTTAAACTTTATTTTTACTGCTTTCAATTATATATGTGTGTATGTCTGTGGATATACGCACATGAGTGCAGATGCCTACAGAGAGAGGTTGAGGCATTAGAGCCCCTGGAGCTGGGAAAATAGGCAGTTGTGAACCATCAATGTGGGTGCTGCAAACTGAACTTGGGTCTTCTGCAAGAGGAATATACACTCTTAACCAGTGAGCCATTTTCCAGCCTCTGGTGATCCGTTTTATGAAATTATTATTTCTTTTTTTTTGTAAGATTTTATTTATTTATTATGTATACAACATTCTGTCTCCATGTATGCCTGCGCACCAGAAGAGGGCACCAGATCTCATTACGGATGGTTGTGAGCCACCATGTGGTTGCTGGGAATTGAACTCAGGCCCTCTGGAAGAGCAGCCAATGTTCTTAACCTCTGAGCCATCTCTCCAGCCCGAAATTATTATTTCTTAAATGTTTTTTTAAAAAGTAAGTGTTGTGCCTGCATGTCTGTCTGTGTACCTGTGTGCCTGGTGTCCTCCTAGGTCAGAAGAGGGTGTTTATTAGATCCCCTAGAACTATAGTTGTGAGTTACCAGCCAGGTGGGTGCTAAGAACTGAACCCAGGTCCTCTGAAAGAGCAGTAAGTGTTCTTAACCACTGAATCAACTTTCCAGCCCCAATTTTATGAAATTAATTTCTTTTTATTTTATCTTTTGAAACAGGGTTTCTCTGTATACCGTTGGCTGTCCTGGAACTCACTCTATAGACCAGGCTGGCCTCGAACTCACAGAGATCTGTCTGCCTCTGTCTCTCGAGTGCTGGGATTAAAGGCATGCACAGCCACCACCTAGCATGAAATTTTATTCTTAAGTGGTTCAGGTCTTAAACATGTAGTATAAAGATTTCTGTTTAGCCTCAATCTCTCTGCTATTATTTCTCTCTCTCTCTCTCTCTCTCTCTCTCTCTCCTGTTCCCTCTCCTCTCCCTTCCTTCCTTTTTGGTGCTGGAGATCAAACCCAGGGCCTCACATGTTTTGAGTGAGCACTTGTTCATTTCCTTAAAAGCAGAAAATGTAATGTTTTCTTAGACATTAGACCATAAGAAGTGTAATTTAGTGAACATAGCTGCCTTCCAGTGTCTTGATGTTATCAGCTCTAAATGATCTATTATTTGTTCCTGATTATCTAGACACTGCCTAAAGATTTTATTTATTTTTATGTATGTGGGTGTTTTGCCTCTGTGTGTGTGTGTGTGTGTGTGTGTGTGTGTTTGTGTGTGTGCCACATGTGTGCCTGGTGCCTGTGGAGACAAGAAGGCATTAGAACCCCTGAAGCTGGAGTTACAGATAATTATGAGCCATCTGTGGGGGCTGCAAACCAAATCTGGGTCCTCTGCAAGAGCAAGAAGTGCTCTTTACCACTGAGTATCTCTAGATAATCAGTGGGCATATATCTTTAACCTCAGTGCTTGAGAGACAGCGACATGCAGATCTCTGTGAGTTAGAGACCAGTGTGATCTACATAGTGAGTACCACACCAGCCAAGGGCTACATAGAGGGACCCTGTCTCAAAAAAAAAAAAAAAAAAAAAAAAAAAAAAAAAAGTAGATGACTTTACTTTTCCCACAGATACTCTGATTCAAAAGATCTAGGCCAGGGGATCCTGTTATATATTGAAAAGCTACTCACATTTGGCAACTTCTGGTATAGACAAAACTAAAAAATGAACAGAACATTGTGATCCACTGTGATCTAAGCCTAGGACATTTCCTGGAAGTTGGCTATTGTCCTAAAGCTAACATGGGAGCTTTTGGTGTGGTTTGCCAAACAAAAAAATAGAAAAGAGAAGAAAATGGGAAAGTTTGAAATGTAAATTATTTTTAATTCCAGTGTTTTATCATAACAAATATTTAGTTTATTTTAGTTCCCTAAAACACTTGCTGATTGGCTAAGATAATAGAATAATGAAATGAAGTAAACATACAAAAAAGAAACCTTAATTTATTTGCCTTTAAATATTTTTTTTGAGACAGGGTTTCTCTGTGTAGCTTTGGAGCCTGTCTTGGAACTCACTCTGTAGACCAGGCTGGCCTTAAACTCACAGAGATCCGCCTGTTTCTGCCTCCCTAGTGCTGGGATTAAAGACATGTGCCACTGCTGCCCGGCACCTTTAAACATTTTTAAAATAATCTTCTATTCTTCTCTGCCAACCTTTCTAGGGACTTATTTAGTGAAACAACTGAATTTTTCCTTTTTTTGACATTGCTTAAGAACTTGGCATTGTTGGCTGAATGTCATTTGGTACAGTTCCTGTGGTCACTTGCCAGCACCTCTTACAATACATAGGCCTTCCGCCCAGAAATCCTCCTTCTGAAAGGCAGCTTGGGATTGCAGTGAATCCCCACACTCACCTGAGTTCACTGTTGCCCAGCCAGTCCTCTACAGAGCCCCTGCAGACATTCGTGGACATTGACTGTGTAGAACAACAGAAAACGTCCCAGTCACCCCATACAGGCTTGCAGCTCAAGTTAGAAGTCATGTGCTGGCTTTTTTTCAATCACCACTTCTTTTGTTTTATGTCTATGAGTGTTTTGCTTACATGTTTGTTTGTGCCCCATGTCTGTCTGGTGTCCATGGAGGCCAGAAGAGGGCATCAGATCCCCTGCAACTGGAAGTATGGAGGTGGGTGCTGAGAACCAAACCCAGGTCTTCTGCAAGTGCAGGAGGTTCTCTTAGTTGCTGAACTCTCTCCAGCCCGTGTCTTGCATTCTGTTACTGTTTTTGCACTTTTTATCAGCCATTTATTTCAGCGTTGACAGGTACTCAAGCATAGTGCCCAAGTGCTGCCCAGTGTTTTTGAGCAAAAGTGAGCTATAATGTAAGTTACAGAGAAAATAGGTCTGTGATAGATTTGTCAGGTGTGAGTGCTCCATTTGTCAGGTGTGAGTTGTGTTACTGGCCATGAGTTCAAAGTTAATGATTTCAATATATATATATATATATATTTTTAAAAAGCATACGGAACAATGAATGCCTCATGGCATGACTCCTTGGTGTTAGGCTTTACCCAGATTTTACAACCTCCTACCTCATTCCTAGAGCCTCCATAAAACCACCTCATAGTCTGTGAGTGTCTAACAATCATTGTTTCTGTGCAGTCAAAAGCAGGGGGTTCTTGTTTTGCATTGGTAATAATGTTGATCTGAAAATTAAACATTTTCCATTGAGCATAGTGAAAAGCAAAGTTGCCCCCCTTTTTCAGACAGGATCCCAAGCATCCCAAGCTGGCCTCAAACTTGCTATGTAGGAAAAGATACTATGAACTTGTGATTCTTCTGTTTGACCCTCCAAGTAATAGGATCACACAAGTGTGTGTAGCATCCCTAGTATGTGGTTCAGGGGGTTGAACCCAGGACTTTGTGTATGCTAGGCAAGCACTGTCCCAATTCAGGAAACAAATATTTTTTTAAAAAGGTAAGTAATTAATACCTACACATTCTCCAGATAATTTTATATTCTCAAGTTCTTCCTGTTTGTTATCTAGGAAAGTAAAAATAATAAGACTATTTTAGGAGTATATGCAGATAATATTAGAATATAGTGGTCTGGGGTGGAAAAGATGGCTCAGCAGTTAATAAAACTGGCTGTTCTTCCAGAGGTCCTGAGTTCAATTCCCAGCAACCTCATGGGAACTCACAACCGTCTATAGTGGGATCCCATGCCCTCTTCTGTCGTGCAGGCATGCATGCAAGTAAAGCATTCATATACATAAAGTACTCAAATAAATAAGTCTTAAAAAAGAATATGGTAGTCTATAATATTTATATCTACTCCTAAAATATCTGTGCATAGTATTATCTTGGCATTGATATAACATATAAAGCTGTAAGTGGATTCTCTTACTTTTATAATGGTTTGATGATTGAAGAAAGTCTACACTTTGTAGCACTTAACTGTATACACATACATGCACTCATGATGTTGTGGTATGTTTTCATATCAAAATATCAAGAAAAGTTTGATTGTATCATTAGTGTTAAGATAAAATAAATTAAAAGATGGAAAAATTTTCTTTTCTAAAGTATCATCTTCAGGTTTGATAGTAATATGTATTATTGAAATAAAAATCACTGGTTTCTGAGCTTTTAATAAACGTTCAGTGGTGGGGCTAGAGATGGCTCTATGGTTCAGAGCACTGACTGTTCTTCCAGAAGACCTGCACCCACATGGTGACTCATAATTGTAACTCCAGCTCCAGGGGATCTGACACCCCTCCTTTGGCCTCTGCAGGCACCAGGCTCTCATGTGGTACACATACATATAAGCAGGCAAAACTCTCATACACATTAAATAAATCTGTAGTATCTATAGTCTTAAAACAACTCTGAGATTGGGTTTTCCCTTTACTCCTATTAAACATAACTGCTGCAATATTGGACGTGTGTGTTCTCATTTTCTTTTTCAGTTACCCCGCTGTTTGTGAATTTTTACAGAACAACAGTTTATTATCAATAATCAGAGCCCATGAAGCCCAGGATGCTGGGTAAGTTGCATTGAAACTCTCACCTATACCTCCAGGGATTTTAGTTTAGTGTAAAGATGCATGAAGTCATCTGGGCAATAGTGGTGCTCACCTTTAATCCCAGCACTCAGGAGGCAGAGGCAGGTGGATGTTTGTGAGTTCAAGGCTAGCCTGGTTTACAGAACGAGTTCCAGGACAGCCAGAGAAACCCCGTCTTGAAAAGCCAAAAAAAAAAAAAAAAAAAAAAAAAAAAAAAAAAAAGGTGCATGAGCTCTCCTCTCTTTTCCAGGTACCGAATGTACAGGAAGAGCCAAGCAACGGGCTTTCCATCACTCATTACAATTTTCTCTGCCCCTAATTACCTCGATGTTTATAACAATAAAGGTAAAGAAGCCCAACAATATTTGAATGTGAATTTGTTAGTAACTGTGAGCTCTAGTTTAATTTTGTGTTTTAGTTTTATTATTATGTTCATTTATCTATTTTTATTTTTTGGTTCTGTGGATTGAACCCAAGACCTTGTATTTGCAAAGCACTCACTCTACCACTGGGCTATATACTGAACACCTATTTTTGAGTACAAAATTTCAATCAGATAAAAAGGTCTTGGGTAAGGGATATGGCTCTGTGGTAAAGCATGTGTTTAGCTTGAGAAAGAGCTTAACTTCAATCTCCTTATCTGACTTCTGCTCTTCCTCCACAGACCATGACATTTCTTCCTCTCTCACCCCACCCCACTTCTCGTTTATTTTGTGTTGAAACAGAGTTTGGCTATGTACTCTAGGTTGGTTTTGAGCAAGTGATAGGGTTATAGGCATGCACTACCATATCTAGACGAAGAGATCTTATTGGAACAAAGGTCAATACATTTAGAGTGTAAGCTACTGTTTGGTCTTCATCTCCTAAGAGATTGGATCTGTAGGGTACAGTGATCATAGTAGATGGTGTGATGAGTCAATATCTAAAACTAATAAATAACTTCAGAGCTATGTTAGAACAGTTAACACAAGTTGATAATACTACCTCAAAAAAGTCACCATTTGGTGATACTTTGTTTTGTTTGTTTGGTGTTTTAGAATGGGGTCTCACTGTATAGCCCAGACCAGCATCAAACTCACCATCCTGCTTTAGCCTCCCCAGTGCTGGGATTTAGACATCTACCATTATGCCTGGCTCCTCATTTGCTGCTTTTTGTTTGTTTTTGTTTTGTCTTTGAGACAGGGTTTCTCTGAGTGCCCCTGGCCATCCTAGAACTCATTCTGTAGACCAGGCTGGCCTCAAATTCAGAGATCTGTCTGCCTCTGCCTCCCAAGTGCTGGGACTAAGGGCATGTGCCACCACCACCAGACTTTATATACCTTTTCCTTATAATTTCGATGATGAAAAGTGCTGTTCTGATTTGCATTTCTAATTAGAGGTGAGTTTGACCCTCTTTTTAAAAATGCCTTACATTTATTTATTACTTTTCATGTGTATGTGTGTTCATTTGCATGGACTCCTTGTGAAGGAGGCAAGTGGATCTCTGAATTTAGGGCCAACCTCGTCTACACAGTGAGTTCCAGACAGCCAGAGCTATGGAGGAGTGGAGGTGGTGGGGGAGGGGGATATCTTTAAAAAAAAAAAAAGAAAAAGAAAAGAAAAGAAACCAAAAACCCAACCAAACAAAAAAGAATTGAAAGAATATTATAACTACAGCACAAGTGATGAAGAATAAGAAACTTTTAAAACTATAAAGAAATCTTTCCCATTCCCCAGCTGTCTTGGTGGTTGCTTTTGTTTGGGGCAGGAAGATGGTGGCTGCAAAGACAAAATGTCTCTAGCCAGACAGTGGTGTTACACACCTTTAATTCCAGCACTCAGGAGGCAGAGGCAGGCAGATCTCCAAGTTTGAGTCCGGCATGGCCTACAGAGTGGGTACTAGGACAGCCAAGGCTACACAGAGAAACCCTGTCTAGAAAAACAAAAACAAAAAGTATCTGGAGTTGATGGACTCTAAGCCTCTACTTGTTATGAGAAGGTTATGTGCTGGGGCAAACAGATTCTGAAGATGGGCAGACAGGGCAGAGTGAAATTGGTTATCCTCGCCAACAACTGCCCAGCCCCAGGAAAACTGAAATGGAATACTATGCCATATTGACCAGAATTGGTGTCTGTCACTACAGTGGCAATAACATTGAATTGGGCACTGGATGCGGGAATACTACAGAGTATGCCTGCTGGCTGTAATTGACCCAGGTGATTCTGATGTTATTAGAAGCGCCAGAACAGACTGGTGAAAAGTAAACTAGGAAAGTTTTCCTCTAATAAAACTACCAGAGCTAGGGGCTGGAGAGATGGATCAGAGGTTAAAAACATTGGCTTCCCTTTCAGTGGTCCTGAGTTCAATTCCCAGCAACCACATGGTGACTCACAACCATCTATAATGAGATCTGGTGTCCTCTTCTGGCTATGCAGGCATACATGCAACATTGTATAATAATACATAAATAAATCTTAAAAAACAAAACAAACAAAACTATCAGAGCTCATTAAAGACAAAAACAAAACAAAAAATATACAGAAAATCAGCTTGGCACAAATATGCATGCATCTATTTGATGACATGGTTCCTGTTAAATGTTTATAGGCACCCAGAATGCTGAGAATAGAAGAACTATTGTTTTTTTTTTTAACAGTTTACTTTTTAAACTTTTTTATTAATTTATTTTTTACATTCCAATTCCTGTTTCCCATCCGGCCTCTCTTCCTGCACCCCCCACTTTCCTACCTCCCCCCCCACCTCTCATCTGCTCCTCGGAGAGGCTAAGGCCTCCCCTAGGAAGTCTACCAAGTCTGTCCCATCATATCATTGAGGCAGGTCCAAGGCACCTCTCCACTCCCCACACCCCTATGTCTAGACTGGGCAAGGTATCTCTCCCTATAGAATGGGCTCCACTAAGTCAGTTTGTGCATTAGTGTTAGGTCTTGGACCCACTGCCAGTGGACTCATATGTTGTCCCAGCTGCATCATTGTCACCTATATTAAGGGAGTCTAGTTCGGTCTAGTTCGGTTCCCCATTTGTGAGACCTGAGTCAGTGATCTCTCACTAGCTCGGGTCAGCTGATTCTGTGGGTTTCCCATCTTGGTCTTGAGTCCTTGTTCATATTATCATTCCTCCCTTCCTTCAATTGTACTTCAGAAGCTTGGCCCAATGGTTAGTTGTGGATTTCTGCATGTGCTTCCATCTGTTTCTGGAAGAGGGTTCTAACTTCTCTGAGGTTGTGAATTGTAGGCTGGGTATCTTTTGCTTTGTGTCTGGTATCCACTTATAAGTGAATACATACTATATTTGTCTTTCTGGGTCTAGGTTGCCTCACTCAGGATGTTTGTTTGTTTTCTAGTTCTGTTCATTGTTGGGTGTTGTTTGTTTTATTTTGTGGTTTTGGTTTTTCAAGACAGGGTTTCTGTGTGTAATAGTCCTGGCTGTTGGAGACCAGGTTGGCCTTGAACTCACAGAGATCTGCCTGCCTCTGCCTCTGCCTCCCAAGTGCTAGGCTCAAAGGTATGTACCACCACCACCACCACCACCACCACCACCACCACCATCACCCTGAAAAAACTGGTATTTTTAAAATCTGCTGTGAGGAGAGATTATATACTCTACCCTTAAGCATTAATTAGAAATTGTTCCATGTTTACCAATTTATTGCCCCCCACTGTGAATTGATAAATTCCTGGAGAGTTTATAAGAAACTTTGTCTGTGGCTCTTGACTAGCTAAACAGTCTATGCCCATTCAATGGGTGATATTTGCCCTTAGAGAGACGCTGTGATTACAGCTGTTTGGACAGTAAATGGAAATTATGGGAAGTTTTTCTTTGTTGAACCTTAGGTTTATTTAATAGCTAGTATTCAGCAAACCTTTGGTGTTTCAGAACACATTGTCTTCCATGCTTTGATCATGTGAACTCCTCAGGTAACTTTTTTCCTTGTAATAATCCCTAAGAGAATCAACCCTGCAAAATTCTTTAAATTTGTCAAGCTGTCCTGACCTTCTCCTGAATTTACAAATGGAAAATAAGTTATTGAAAAGTCTATAATCAGTTCACAACTGGACAAAGCACAATAGCTGTTGTGCCATGGTTTTCTGTGCCCAAGTGTCTTGCTTTTTACTTTTTAGCTGCAGTGTTGAAATATGAAAACAATGTCATGAACATCAGGCAGTTTAACTGCTCTCCACACCCCTACTGGCTTCCAAATTTCATGGATGTTTTCACGTGGTCTTTGCCTTTCGTTGGAGAAAAAGGTAAGAGAATCCCAGTGTGCATCTTAACACCACCAGCTCTGTCCTGACCAGTCACAAGACACCTTTACATTCCCAAAGTTTATCAGTAATGTGTGCTGATTTTGTTTGTTCTCTACAAAGATTTTGTGTAGAGGGCAGAGGACAGCTTGTGGAGTTGGTTTTCTCCTTTCACCTTTATGTGAGTTTCAAGGATTGAATTCAGGTCACCAGGTTTGCACAGGAATACCTTGATTTACTGAGCCCTCTACAGAGATTTTTAAATGACATTAGTCTGATCTTAAATATCAGTCTATTGCATTGTCCTTATCTGAAATACCAATTTAAAGCAGCTGTCCTGTATGATCATGATATTAAAGTAATGTGGCCACTATTCTGTTTCTTTATGAGTCATTAGTGCTAAAGGGATTTAGACAGGATTTGTTGTCTTAGAGTTTTGTGTGTGCAGCTGCAGAAGTGAATGGTACAGACATAAGACACAGTTACACAAGTGAGCTGTACAGACATAAGACACAGTTACACAAGTGAGCTGTACAGACATAAGACACACAAGTGAGCTGTACAGACATAGGACACAGTTACACAAGTGAGCAGTGCAGACATAAGACACAGTTACACAAGTGAGCTGTACAGACATAAGACACAGTTACACAAGTGAGCTGTACAGACATAAGACACAGTTACACAAGTGAGCTGTACAGACATAAGACACAGTTACACAAGTGAGCTGTACAGACATAAGACACAGTTACACAAGTGAGCTGTACAGACATAAGACACAGTTACACAAGTGAGCTGTACAGACATAAGACACAGTTACACAAGTGAGCTGTACATACATAAGACACAGTTACACAAGTGAGCTGTACATACATAAGACACAGTTACACAAGTGAGCTGTACATACATAAGACACAGTTACACAAGTGAGCTGTACATACATAAGACACAGTTACACAAGTGAGCTGTACATACATAAGACACAGTTACACAAGTGAGCTGTACATACATAAGACACAGTTACACAAGTGAGCTGTACATACATAAGACACAGTTACACAAGTGAGCTGTACATACATAAGACACAGTTACACAAGTGAGCTGTACAGACATAAGACACAGTTACACAAGTGAGCTGTACAGACATAAGACACAGTTACACAAGTGAGCTGTACAGACATAAGACACAGTTACACAAGTGAGCTGTACAGACATAAGACACAGTTACACAAGTGAGCTGTACAGACATAAGACACAGTTACACAAGTGAGCTGTACAGACATAAGACACAGTTACACAAGTGAGCTGTACAGACATAAGACACAGTTACACAAGTGAGCTGTACAGTCATAAGACACAGTTACACACGTGAGCAGTACAGTCGTAAGACACAGTTACACAAGTGAGCAGTACAGACATAAGACACAGTTACACAAGTGAGCAGTACAGACATAAGACACAGTTACACAAATGAACAGTGCAAACATAAAACAAGCCTGTTGAATGTAGGCCTGTTAAAACTTCTTTGTAAAATGGGAAGGAATTTTTATGTGCATACCTGAGCCAAAGGTTCTTAACAGCCATCTAATAAAACCAAGCAATTCTGTGATAGAATTCTCAAATTCTCATCTAACCAAAACAAGTATGGACTAAGTTCTCTCTGAACCTGATGCTCTATACTTTTAATGCTACTTTTATAGCTATTTATGATATACATCATTTCTGTCAGTATTTACTTAATGCATTTTTATTTATGCACCTTTGGAAGTGCTTGCTAACTGCGTGCATTTTACATTATTTTGTCTACAGTCACAGAGATGTTGGTCAATATTCTCAACATATGCTCTGATGATGAGCTCATCTCCGAGGACGACACAGAAGGTAAACTTCTTCCTCAAACTAGAAACTAACGAGTTTTGATGGGGATTTCACTTATTTTCAAGTTGTTTTGGTCTTAACTAGAAAACAATTATGTTCATTGTAGAAAGAGTTTGATAACTGCAGGAAGCCATAAATAGGAAGAAAATAGTCACTAACATTGTGTCATCTCAGATGTCTGCTAATGTCTTTGTGTAAACTGTCTTTGTCTTTGCATAGAATTTTTTTCTTCTCATTTTTGTCACTTACAAAAATGAAGTGACATAATGCTATCATGTCTTCATCTCTATTTCTCTTGTTCCTTTGTTGTGTAGTTTCTCATAGTTGTCTATGTTCATTCATTGTGCTAAGTCATCACATGCTGCTGAATATTAGATTTTTCCCCCTCAACTTGAGCTTTAAAACTGCTACAATTTTTTGGTCAGGCAGTGATGGCACACGCCTTTAATCCCAACACTCAGGAGGCAAAGGAGGTGGATCTCTGTGAGTTTGAGACCAGCCTGGTCTTCAGAGCGAGTGTCATGACAGCAAGGGCTACACAGAGAAAACTTGTCACAGGGAAAAATAATTCAAATTCTTACAGATAAATCATTGCACATTCTATCAATAATCAGTCATTGTTACATGTTTGATGTGTGCCAAATACTGTTTATGCCTTTGTTCTTACTAAACTTATTGTATTATAAGGGAGACAAACAAGAAATAAATATAATGTAGATACTGATATATGCTGTAGAAGAAGTAATGCAATATTAGAAAATCTGAGAGTAACATTTTCTTCTTTATAGTTAAATGTCTAGAAACTGCATGTGTGTGTCAGTACTTAAAACTGTACAGATAGCTTTTAAAAGGCTATGCTAATTTGTATCTTTGTGATACATAGTGAACTCACATGCTTTTTCTAGTACTGTCCACACACACACACACACACACACACACACACACACACACACATGCAGTGCCAAGACTAGAACCCAGTCGTTGTGCAGACAAGCACTCAACAGAGCCATAGCCCCATCCCTAATTTTTAATTTGTTCCTTTTTGCTCCAACATATTTTTATTAAAATTTGTTTTACGATAACTAATAAGCACATTCTCTTGTGTTTATTGGCCATGTTTTTTCTGTTTTGTAAGTGTCAACTCATATATTTCTAGTTCTGCTGGATTATATGCATGTTTTGCTTCCCATACTGGTATGTAAGAGATCTTCGTATTGTGTCTTTGTATAGTAACATTAGTTATTTTTGTAGCTAAGTGCTTTTTTCCCCCTGATTTCTATCACTATGGATTAGTGTGTTGCCGTTAGAGGAATCCTTTTAACTAATTTGTAGCCAGGTGCTTCTAGTGTATTGCCAGTGGTTTGATCTGAAAGACAGGCTCTAACTTTTCTGAGAATATAGGAGATTCTGGAAATGCAGTGTATTTGATCACAAACCTCCACTTCACATTCTTTGTAGACCTGTACCGCAGCAATTAACTGTTACATAAAATATTGGATGGTATAGAATGCATAGCTCCCACTGGAAATCTAGAGGAGATTTTTTTTTTATTAGTTTCTACATGGAAGGTTGTGAGTAGATGAAGTACAGCTTGTGTGATTTCATTTTCTGGATTGGAGATTGTTGAATGGAGCCAGACCTTTTGAGAAAGTCTAGAAGATTTAAAAAGAAGAACTTAGGGAAGGTGAAATAGTTTTTTTAAAAAAAAAACAGATATAATTAAGTTCATATGCAAATCTAAATAGAAATGTAAATGACTATAAACTCTGTGATAAGCACTAAGAACTTCTTGAGTGGGTGTGGTGGCTTGGTGGTAAAGGGCCTTGCTAACAGGCCTGATGATATGAGTGCCATCCCGGGACCCACATGGCTGAAGAGAACTAGTTCCCACAGTTGCTCTCTGACCTCCACACAGGGCTGTGTGGTGAGCAGTTGATGCTCTCTTCTCTCTGGGTGGGCTCTGGGCCTCTGACTCAGGAAGTCCAGCTTTGTGGCAAGAGCCCTTACCCATGGAGCCCATCTCACTGCTCATAACATGCGTTTTAAATAAGTAATACAATCTAAGGGTTTCTACTTCAGCCCTGCCTGTTAAGACAGCTAGAAAAGCTAGTTGGTTTTTTGAAACAGTTTCTCTGTGTAGCCTTGGCCACCCTGGACCAGGCTGACCTCAAACTCAGAGATCTACCTGCCTCTGCCTCTCAAGTGCTGAGATTAAAAAGTATTTACCACCACCACCGCCTGGCCTGAATAGTTTGAAATCCATATGACAGCAGACAAAATAGTAAAGAATTACAAGATAAGAACAGAAAAATACAGACAGGTGAACCAGTGTTTGAGAGACCATTTCTTTCTTGAGAACACTCATGAATTTCAAAGGAGGGGTAGAAAGTTTAAGGGCAATTTTTATAGCCTTGTGTAGCTAAGCTAAAAAAAAAAATGGGTTTTAGGACTTCCTAAGGAGGATGTACATGATCATAAATTTCTACTCATTAGTTTAGGACCTTGAAGGAGGGATCTTCAAGAGCAAGGATAAACTAGAAGGAAACATACTATTCTTTCTTCATCATTTCTGCCTTTGATGTTAAATAGTCCAGACACTTGACAATATCCCTGTGAAATAACAGCATGTAAGATCTTAATAAGCAGTCTGTCAGTACAATATATGGCTGGCAACCAAAATAACCAGGAAAATGAGGAGATACAACAACAGAATGAGAAGAGGAAGGTTTCCCAGAAATGGGACTGGCAAGATGGTTCACTGGGAAAAGGGGCTGGCTGAGCAACCCTGTCATCCTAGATTTGACCTTCAGAACCCCATAAAGGCAGGAGAGAACCAACTCCATAGAGTTGTTCTCTGCCTTACACGTTCATGCTATGATACAAAGCTTCCCCACTACACACATGTGCAATAATAATAACAGAAATAGAATTTAAAAAAATAATTTCCAGGGTCTAGAGATAGTTCAACAATTAAGAACACTGGCTGTTTTTCCAGAGTACCCAGGTTTGATTCCCAGCATCTGTGTGGTAACTCTCAACTTTGTTACTCCTCTTCTAGCCTCCATAGTTGCAAGGCTTACAAGTGGTACACAGACATACATAAAGGAAGTTCCAGGCCAGCTAGGGATACATAGTGAGATCCTATCTCAAACAACACAAAAGAATTTTCAGGAGCAGCAAAAATCAAAAATATGTTTTCTACAGACATTGGCTTCATCAGGTCAAACTTAAAAACAAACAAACTTAAGATCCACCTGCCTTAGCCTCATTAGCCCTGGAATTAAGGTATGCACTAGTACCCTTGGCCTAATTTATTCAAGTACTTAGAAGACCAGGTTGAAAATGTTGGTAGATAACTGTGAGTTATATAAGAGGAGTATAGCAGATTTGATAGAGTATCACATATGAAATTAGAAGACTGAAAAATAAGATAACAAATTAGCAAATTTAATAAAGCAAAACACAGACTAAGTGACATGGAAGGTAGGTCAGAATAAAAGTAACTAAAAGCATGATGAGAGGGGGAGTACAAAAACAGCTAAGAGGCTTAGAACATTTGATGATCAGGACCTAGCTGTTGTATGCTTGGAGTACCAGCATACATGGAAAATGGGAAAGATGCAATCTTTGAAAAGGTCCACATAAAAACAGTTCCAAGAGCTGAGAAGACACTGAGTGTTAACCGAAGAAGCCTCTAACAAAGTAGGAGTGACACTAAGAACAATTCCTAGCCACTTGTAGTGAAGACCCCAAGACAGAAGGCAGATCTAAAAGCAGCTGCTCAAATGCAGATTGCCCCTAGAGGAGAAGCTGCACAGGCAGGTTCTTCATGGAAACAGCAAACGGGGTGGGGATGGGGTAACATACTCAAGGTGGTGAAAATTAATACCCAGTAATTTAGAATCTTACAGTCAGCAAAAATATTTTTAACTGGAAAGGTGAAGTAAATATTTGTAGATACCACATTATCCCTTAAAGTTTTTACTAAAAGAATTGGCAGATGTATACTAAGTGAAATTCTGAAGAGTAGCATTTAAAAGGAGGAAAGTACTAGGAAGAAGTTTAGGAAACCTGGGAAAGAATTAAACATAAAAGTTGGAGAGAGCATGTGCAGAAATCACATGAATATACATTCTTTTCGGACTTGAATAAATTGACATATGTTAATAATAGTGGATTATAAAAATTACTTGATGAATTAAAGTGTATGGGGTACTATAAATTCTGATCACATCCAGTGCTTCATACATGACTAACAGTACTTTTCTAAGCTATATCCCCAGCCTTTAACATTGTACTTCAGTAAGTAATAATTCATAGTGTAATCTCTAGGTTCAGCGGTAAGAAAATCATTTGTTAGCCAGGCAGTGGTGGCACACACCTTAGGCTCAGCACTTGGGAGGCAGAAGCAGGTGGATCTCTAGGATCAAGGCCAGCCTGGTCTACAGAGTGAATTCCAGGACAGCAAGAGCTACACAGAGAAGCAAGCCCTGTTTCAAAAAACAAACAAAAACAAGAAAGAAAGAAAGAAAGAAAGAAAGAAAGAAAGAAAGAAAGAAAGAAAGAAAGAAAGAAAGAAAGAAGTTTGTTTTATAACTTTTAAGTTACAGGAAAAATGGGATGAAGAAAAATACCATAGAAGAGAATGTACATCTAGTCATATTTTAAGAAAACAGGCAAAGGGCTGGAGAGTAGCATAAGCACCACTGTCTTAGGGTGACTATTGCTTGATGAAACACATGACCAAAGAAATATGGGGAGGAAAGGGTTTATTCAGCCTATGCTTCCACATCACAGTTCATTGTCAGGAACCTGGAGACAGCAGCTGATGCAGAGGCCATGGAGAGGAGCTGCTTACTGGCTTACTCCTTATAGCTTGCTCAGCCTGTTTTCTATAGAACCCAGGACCATCAGCCCAGGGCGGCACCACCCCAATAGTCTGGCCCCTCCCCCATAAATCACTAATTAAAAAAAAAGGCCTCTCTGACTTGCTTACAGCCCAA